GGGGAGCGGGCAGGGAGGCTCGGCGTCTGCGCTGCCTCGGAGGCTCTGAACCCGAATTTTGGGCTTTGTTGTCTCTCGCGCTGCCTTCGTGGTCACGGTCCGGGGGCGCCCAGTCGACGAAGAGCGCGGACCGAACGCCGCGGGACTCGGGCCCGGACGCTTCGCTCGGAGGGAAGGGAGCGAACGTGAGTTTCGGCGAGATCGCCTTCAGCGGGGAGTCTCGGGTGAAGGAGCCGCGCGCACCGCGTTGTGTAGCGTGCGGAGCTAGTTGTGGACTTTGCAGGAGCTGCTTGGGAATGGCTTCGGAGCGTTCTCCGCCCTGATTTGTACGTGTGCACCTAATAGTCCAGCTGCACCTGGGAGAAGTTCGGCTCGGTTCGGTGCGGTTCGGTTCAGCGCGGCGCGCGGGCCGGGAACGAGAAAGACCGCGGGCGGAGAGCACCAGAGCCCGGCGGAGCCGCGCTGAGTTACAAACTCTATTGTGACGCACTTACTACGACTGACGGCCGCTGCCAAACCTTCCCCAGACTTGCTGCCCTCAGCATTTTCGGCAAACAATGGGGCCGGAGCGGGGAACGCGGCCAGCCGCCTGCAATCGCTGCATCTGCGCCCGCTCCTGTGCTCCAGCGCTGTATCTGATCCTGGGAAACCAGAGCCCACTGGGAGTTTCTGCCTTATTCAAGTCTGTCCAAAGCAAAACGCACATGTGAATAGATGTCAGACTAGCAGCGTCTCCTAAAACTTGTGTGTGTCTGTGTATGTGTGTAAGTGTAAGGAGCACCAGTTCCAGAAGTAATTGATGTTAATGTGTTTTGTTTGGCAGTACAAAGTTTGGTTCCCTCCCAAAAAAGATAATTATACCTTTGTTATTTTAGGTTCATTTTTTAATTCTTATTTGGGAGGTCGTCAGAGAAGTGTTAAAAGAATGACTTTAGTTTTAATTTAATTTTTTGGGATGAACCAAGGATTGGGGGCGATTTTTGTTATAGGACGCTTGCACTCCCCAGAAAGACAGAAAGACAGAAATCCACCCCCCGGGGGGGGGGGATGACCACACAGTACTCCTTTCTCCTCTATTCTCCTCTATCCTCCTCTGGCAACTACGAGCTCGTGTACACACGCGCCCGGCATGGGCATGAGATTTAAGCCATGTCCGGGACTTGAACTGGTGTCGACCACGTGGGAGTCCAGTGATGTAACCATTACATCATGTGCTGGTCCCTGAACTAAGAATTTGTAACGACTAGGTGAAGGTTAGCTAACGTATTTATTTCTTGTAATTATTTCACTTAACATAGATTTTCTTTCTCTGTTCCTTGCAGAAAAAAAGACCAAATGGCAAAGCAACCTTCCGATGTAAGTTCTGAGTGTGACAGAGAAGGCAGGCAATTGCAGCCTGCAGAGAGGCCCCCCCAGCTCAGGCCTGGGGCCCCTACCTCCCTACAGACAGAGCCGCAAGGTAATCCTGAAGGCCAAGGCGAAGGGGACCGCTGCCCCCAAGGCAGCCCTCAGGGCCCGTTGGCCCCACCGGCCAGCCCTGGCCCTTTTGCTACCAGATCCCCACTTTTCATCTTTGTGAGAAGATCCTCCCTGCTGTCTCGATCCTCCAGTGGGTATTTCTCTTTTGACACAGACAGGAGCCCGGCACCCATGAGTTGTGACAAATCAACACAAACCCCAAGTCCTCCTTGCCAGGCCTTCAACCATTATCTCAGTGCAATGGGTAAGCAGTCCCTGGGGAAGAGGCAGCTGATGGGTGGTTTTCTGGGTATCTGTGTAAATGCTGTGTGTGGTATGTAGCGCCCCCTTTACAATCCCTTCCCATACTTCCACCCTTCCGGCAGATGTGTCAAAAGGTCAAACCAGCGTTTTAAAAATGTTACTAAGTCTTGTGGCAGCAGTGAGTTGGGGTCCACACATCAGCCTTTGGGGACATAGTGTGAATCTCTGCTGCCTTCAGCAAGCTAACCATTGTTTTCACCACCAGTCTTTCCATGTTAATGACGTTCTGCTAGAAAGGGACCTGGTCATTTACAAAAAATAGCATAATAATGTAACTCGAAGTGTGACCAGTAAGACAGGTCGTTTTCAAAGATGACATTAAAAGGGAATGAAGTAGGTCAGGTACAATACCAGCATAGAACCGTGATGTGATTCGTTCAGATTCCTCTTGAGGCTCCTGTGCAGAGAGTTAATAGAAACAACATTAACATTAGGTTGTAGGTTTTTATTTCAGGAATTAAAAGCAGTTTTAGGGTCCAAACCAAGAGTGGGAAGTATAAATACCCAGAGAAGCGTGCATTAAAGTCAGTGATGGAATTGACCCAGTGAAGGTTGTGAACACTGGGGGACATTTGCCCCTCTCTTTGGGGCTACACCTACTCGGTCATGACAGTATGTGGGCCTCCGAGTGGCAGCTTGTACTGTATTTCAAGAGAGACCAGGAATACAGATTCTGATGCTAAATATTCTGACATTTAAACTTTGGCAATGAACTTGGATCTTCGAAATCACTGTATAAGCCAGATAGAAATAGCTGCACACTTGATTTGACCCATGAGTCCCCAGCGTGTGACTTTGGATTATATACAGTTCTGGTGGCCTTGGTAAGATGAACCCGGGTTGGATCAGCTCCTTGCCCTCCCCCCGTGAGTATGAGTAATTCTTGACTTGATCTGCATTCTCCAATATCGTGTTTATCTTCGTCTGGATTAACACATAGTCTGCATAAATGAGACATAAGTAAATTGGAAAGATAGCAACTAGGAAATCCAGTATGGGTTCTATTAACATGTATTGTATTCTATTTTCTGTTGACAAACTTAATGTCGAAGGCTAACTAAGTAAGGTCATTGGACTAGATGCTTGAATTCTGGAATACGGGGCTGAATCTTGTTTTTGTAAATATCGGGTAGCTCTGGCTTCCTAACCTTCAGGGAGGTCAGTCAGGCAGGTCTGTCCCCCAGTTGCAGAGCTGGAAAGAACCTGAGGGACTGGCCACTTCTCAGAGGTTGTGCATACCTGGGCAGTGGCTGGCAGATGTGGCAGAAATACCGGTGGCTGCACGCTTTGCCTTCACGTGTCCTGCTGATAGTTGGGCCCTCTTT